CACAACTGTGTGCTTGCAAGGCAGGTGCTTATGCCACTGAGCTAAATCCCCAGCTCAATTCAGGTACTTTTTTTTTTTTGTACCAGGGATTGAACTCGTGACCTCGTGCTTGCCAGGCAGGTGTTTATGCCACTGAGCTAAATTCATTGCTCCCCTAGGAGACCTTCTTAATATAGCTTTTTGTGGTTTCAACAACAGATAAAACTCAAAAGGAAAAAAAGAGGCACAGAAAAAGAAATTTGCTAAATATCAATTGGATTTTTTAGCAGTGGTATTTGGGGCTCCTAAGACAGATAAACTGAAACAAGGCAGAGCTGCCCGAGCCTCTCCTGGACCATGCTTCAAGTGTGACAAAAAAGGACATGGGGCAAGAGAATGTCCCAACCCACGATTTCCTCTGGGGCCCTGCCCCCTCTGAAATCTCAAGGGCTATTGGAAGAACAACTGTCCTGGCCTCCAGAGAGCAAGTAAGCCATCCTCCAATTCCTTGCTCTCACAAAAGATCTTGTCGCCACTGGATTTGTTTCTGGCTGACCTACTTGGACTTGCTGCTGAAGAAGATTGATGGGGCTTGGAGTTCATAGTTCCCATTGATATCCTTTTCAGAGCTCCGAGCCTCCCTGGAGATCTCTGGTAAGACACTTCCTGTACTTGTAGACACAGAGGTGACATATAGTGTTCTTCCCGAGTTTTCAGGTCATTATTTAAATCCTCAGTCTCTATACTGGATGTTGATGGCCAACCTACACAGTCTGTTCAAGAAGGGCCCATTCCATGCGTGTTCCAAACTCTATTCTTCACCCATCGCTTTCTGGTAATACCAACATGTCCCATACTCCTTTTATGCAGGGGTCTCCTCCAAAAGCTTAACTTCTCCTTTATCTTCTCTCCATAGCTCTTGTCCTCTCAACACCATCACAAATGAACTACAAACCCAACCCTTTCTTTCCTCTTTCCCCTGTCAATCCCATAGTCTGGGACGCTTCTAACCCCACCTGCACCATCCATGTTATACCTATTTTAATTCGGCTCAGGAATCCTTCAATCTTTCCTTGCCTTCCCCAATATTACCCCCAAACATCTGTGAGGGCTTAAGCCTATAATCAAGCATCTTTCAGATGATGATTTTCTCAAACCTACAATACTTTACACCTCACAATAACTTACAATACCTCCATTCTCCCAGTACTTAACTCTAATGGATCCTATTGTCTGGTACATGACTTTAAGGTTATCAATCATGCTGTTACCTGATTCACCCAGTGGTGCCCAGCCCTTATATCATCCTCTCTCATATTCCTCCCTCTATCACTCACTTCACAGTTCTAGATCTTAAAGATGCTTTTTAAAAATCATCCCCCTACACCCTGAGTATCAGGATTTCTTTGTGTCTATGTGGACTAATCCAGACACTCTCATGTCTCAACAACTCACCTAGACAGTGCTCCCTCAAGAGTTCACGGATAATCCTTATTTCTTTAACCAAGCTCTTGCCACTGACCTTATAGCTCTTGACCTCAAATCCAGCACTCTCCTGCAATACATTGATGATCTTCTCCTGTGTTATACTTTATCTATACAGACAGTTTCCTCAATTTTCTCTCCATTTGGGGGTACAGGGTTTCTCCTGCTAAAGCCCCAAAGGTAAAATATCTGGGTCTCTCTCTTACTCCTGCCACTTGTTTCATTACTATAGATCATAAGGTGATCCTTTGGGATCTTCAGGTGCCCACAACCAAACAACAGATTTTATCTTTTCTGGTTTTAGGTAACTTCTTTCGCCTGTGGATTCCTAGCTTTGCAGCTATAGCCCAACCCCTCTACTAGAGCTTCCAAGGCTTCCTTGTCAAAACCCCTAGACCCCACTACACCCATACACACCTCCTTTCATAAACTAAAAGAGGCTCTCCTACGGGCTTTAGCCCTTACCCTTCCTGATCCCACCCAACCCCTCACTCTGTACACTACCTCTCAGGATCACAATGCTGTAGTGTATTAGGACACAAAAAGGGACCTTCTTTTCAAGCGGTAGCCTACTTGTCAAAACAGTTAGATAACAATTTGAGGATGGGCACCTTGTCTCTGAGCCCTTGTGGCTGCAGCCCTACTGACACAGGAAGCTAAAAAGTTCACATTCGGACAATCTATTACAATATACTCACCTTATCATTTAAATGAGCTTATCTCACATAAGACACTCCCTGCCCTAATTACCCCTTCTCACTTACAACAGGTACATCTAGCCCTCTCTCAGAACCCTTCTATCTCTATTGCAACTAGTAGTTATCTCAACCCAGCAACTTTGCTTCCCACCTCACAAAATCATCCTCACCACGACTGTATTGAGGTCTTACGGACGATTCCCACCCCTTTCCCTCACATTAGTAGCACACCTCTCTCTTTAGCGTTTGACACATGGTTCACAGATGGCAGTTCAACAAACACAAGACAATCAGAAGAGAGCAGGATATGCAATAGTTAACCAGTCAAGAGTCATACAGATTACTCACCAACAACTGCTTCATAGATCAAATTACACACAGGGATGTATTTCCCAGGGAGCAAAATTTGTCCTCCCAGATCAGCAGGCCTTAGACGCCATAACTGACTTATGCAATTGTTTCCACATACACTCTTAGGCCCAGTAGCTACACATTCTTTTGTGAAGGCTATCATCATTCAGATTAGTCATGCTCTGAATTAAAACCTCTCCTCAGGGACACATACCACCCCTTTCGCTTCCTACTCACCAATTTCATGGACATACCCCCCGTCAGGACTGGCAGATAGATTTTACACACATGCCCTGCCAAAAATCTCTTAAATGTCTTCATCTGTATCTTTTCAGGATGGATAAAAGCCTTTCCCACAACCAGGGAACCTGCTGATGTAGTCACTAAAGTCCTGTTATAAGAAATCATTCCAAAGTTTGATCTACCTCAGAATATCCAGTCAGATAATGGTCCAGCCTTTATTTCTCAAATCACTCAACAGGTACCCTCAAGCTTACAAATTACCTGGTGCCTATACATTCCATACCATCCACAATCCTCAGGAAAAGTAGAAAAGGCAAATGGCCTCATAAAAACATACTTAATCTTCCTGCCTCCAAAAGACTCTCTCCTCTTGCTGCCTACATCTCAATTCTCTCATTCCTGAAACTTGTTATGACAACATGCCAGTCTGTCTTCCCCAGACCTCTGATGAGACCAAACCAGATTCTCCCATACCCCCAGGAGGTCTAATTTATGTTAAATCTTCTAAGTCCACAGGACTACAGCCAAAGTATAGTGGCTCCTACCTGGTCTTCCTTGCAACTCCTATGGTGGTCAAGGTCGCTGCACTGTCATCCTGGTTGCATGTCACTCAGGCTAAGTGGTGCCCTCCTAACCCAAACTTCCTTGACCCTAAACATCCTAAGTGGTCATCATATCTCCTGTCTCCCACCTGTCTCCATTTTACCAAGAGCCCACAGCCACAAATTTCAGACTAAGTCATGCTTTGTTATCCTATTTGGTTCCTGATCATTTACATTCTATTAGCTATTTTTTTCACTGTAGTATTCTTGGTAGTCTTTCCTAGTCTCCCACATTATACGTAAAATTGCTCTCATACTGTTCTATATAACAACTATCTTAGTTCTCTCCACCTTCAGCTATTTAGTTACATATGAGACCACTCTGAGTTTGGGCTCTCCTCTCACTTACAGTATGCAGTCACAGCCCTCCCCACCTCTAGTCTGTAATTTCCCAAACATGCTTCAGTTGTCAGGCCTTATATTTCTCATGCTTCCTATTCTTTCCAGCTCAGACCCTGGACCAAGGACAAGTCTTACTTATGCTTTTACTTTTATCCTTTCAGACGGGAAACTAACTGCCTCCCGTAACTACACCCCTCCCAACTCTGCACTCATTTTTCAGATTCCCTACTGTCACCTTAGACCTTATGTCCAAACCTGGGATAAGGGAACTTAATCAAAATGGAGTAATTTGTCAATCTGTCAGTCATCTTCTTCCTCACCATGGTCCTGGTACGACACATTCAGATAACAGACAGCTCTCCTTTCACCTCTGCTGAGTCCTTTCATTATGATAGTGACCAACCAGCACCTTGCCTCATAGCACCTTGCCTTTTTATTGCTCCAATTTAGGATGTGAGCGTTCACCGACTATGAACTCCTTATCTGGGCTGAAACATCTGATACTAGCTTCTACATGGGCATCATAGCATCCTGTCAACCCATTTAGGATGTGAGCGTTCACCGACTATGAACTCCTTATCTGGGCTGAAACATCTGATACTAGCTTCTACATGGGCATCATAGCATCCTGTCAACCCTCCTGATTCTCAACACGACGTCCCCATACAGCAGGAAGTAGTCAAGAGAGACTCGATGCCCTCGCCTAACAACAGAAAGATTGGGAATGAAAGATTATTTCCCTAGTATAAATTACTGTATATTATGGTGGTGGTCTAACCTGGCAGAAGGCAAAGTGATGACCACTTCTTCCTCCTTCCCTTTCATCCCCGATTATAAGTTCTTCTTTCCTTTTCTATTCATGCAAAGAGAATTTTAATCAGTTCTTCGTACATCAATGCCTGCTGAAGCGCAACTTCTGGTCAGAGTTCACATGCCCCTTAGCCTGCCTCTGTTTCTGTCAGAGGAAAAAAGCCCAATTCTTGCCACAAGTTGTGGACTCCTCTTCATGTCCTCAATGAAGGTATCGTTTTTCTTCCCTATTGTGCTGAAAAACTCTAACAGTATGGATGGCTATTTTTAAGAAAACAATAGACATTATGGTGGCCATTGCTGATTCTCTATTATCTTGCTTTGCAGATTTGTTTTGCTTTCATTATTCTGTTCTGATTAGCTTTATTCTGTTTTGTTCAGTTTGGGTTTATTCTCTTTGAAATGAAAAAAAATTTTTAAATATTTTAACACCCATTTAGTAGGGCACTATGAAAAACATCAACAGGAACAACAAAAAAACACAAACACATTGGTAATTTAAGTTTGAATTTATGTTTGGAAATAAAAACACAAATTAAAAAACTTTTACAAAATTCTCACACAAAGACCCATTTTAGGATATTATTACATGCTGCATTTACTTAGAAAAAGTTAATAGATCTTATCAAAATAAATAGTTGTCAATTGTAAATGTATATTCCTTTCTTGAGCCAAAAGGAAGTTCACATGAAAAGTCACTGAAAGTTTGTGAGGCAAGGTGCAGTCGCTGTGTCAACCACCTCCATGAGCCAGGAGCCTTGGAGCCTGGTCTCCTCAGCTGGGGCTGAACTGCAGCCTGTAGTTTCCCGTATGCATAGAGGGGTTTTCGCTGGATGCTTCTAAAGCTCTATGTGCAATGATTCTTTCATTTCATATAACAGTACAAAATGTTACCACTATTTTTTCCTCTGATTATAAATTTCAACTGACTATAGCATGCTTAAAAATTATACTACAAGAAATACTACAATTTTCATGGCTCTTTGGAAAAGCTCCATTTTAGGAATTTCTCACTTGGTTCACTTTTTCACATGCCTTTGGAGTGTATGCTCCTGAAGAAATCATCTGGCAGAACTTTTCTGAAGTGGTATCTGTAGCTCTGCAAGTTTGGATAGAGCCACATCACTGCTCATGTTCAAACCATCTTCTGTCAAATTACGGATTGCCCAGAAGTTCCACTTATTGTTTTTTCCTTACTTTTACTGTTTCTTATACAGACAATACTTTAATGTTTCTGCAGAACTTCTTCATATCCCTCTAGTAACAGTCTGAGGCTTTTATGTAGTAGATCTTCAAGCATTTTGCTGGTGTGTAAATTTCATCTGATTTGTGCAATAACAAATGCTGGCAGATCTTAGCACCTTGTAGTTATGACTCTGTCTCTCCATTAATATTGCATATTAGCCTTAAAAGAATCAATTCAGTGTATTCATACTTTCTCTTAAATATATTCTTTCCTTATCAATTATAGACATGTTTTTAAAAGAAACACATGCTCAAAACAAATATCATGAGCTATAGCCATGATAAGTGATTAAAAATGCAGCTGATTTTTTTTCCTATATCAGTTCTAACATAAAGGTTCAAGCCTTTGAACATATCCATGGATCTTCAAGGTCTAAAATACATTAGCACACATCATCATTTCTATAGTCTAAGAAAAAGAGTACACAATCTTACATGTGTAGGGGAGTGCCATTAAAATTCACTACTGCAATGTTTATTTTCCTCATAATTATTTGAAAATTCATAGCATACATCAAAATGTTGCTAATTATGAAGATATAAGGTCACAATAATTTATTTTCATAATGATTGTATCAATATCCATATTTCTTTATTCCTAATTAAGTTCAATTTCAACTACCTGATTCTGAGTTTGAGGTAGCTTCATGGTGGGTCTTTTGCTAGGGAAATGGTATGGTCCTGAAATATTCAATTAGAGAAGGAAATACAGTATCATTCATATTGTTTCCTCACTTGGTATATTAACATAAAAAAGTCAACCATTTTTTAGTGATAAAAATACAGTTCTTTTGTGAGCATGGACATAATACATGGAATTTGTTTCTTTGCATGAAAAGTGGCATCATAGGAAAAGGACTCAAATTCTGTTGCTACTTTTCGGTTAACCCGAGTAAGAATGTGCATAAACTCAAGCTTGTGTGCGTACAATTTCAGCATAGCACAAAGTGACTGAATGAACCAGGATCCATCCTTTGAATTTCGCCAAGAATAGTAACCTAAAAAGAAAAATATACCCAAATACCATGGATATCTGATTTTAGCTCATTCTATACATTATTATATAATCACATCTATAAAATTAAGCATAAAGTTCCACAGGCTTTCTTAGCCATAAAAGGAAAAGAAAATGACACCTTTGGTTTTAGGAGAAATGATGCTGGATGGGGAAAAAAATATATTAGCGATACACTTCTGCTTTGAGCAGGGAAAGAACTGTGAACTACATTATCTAGGCTTCGCACAGGGAGGGACAAATAGGTCCTTTCTTATAGGGAGGAACAAGTAAACATGCTAAACATAAGAAGACGTAAAAGCAAAGACACATAAAACAGACAATTATAAGTTGCATGGTGTTTCAATCAGATTTCATTTTATTTTGCTTTTTTAGGATCTCATATAGTTCAGGCTGGCCTTGAACTATGTAGCATAGCCTAGTCTTACAGGCATGTATCACCAACTCAGAGGATTTCATCTTATTTAAATATTAGGTTAGATAAATAAATTGTTATGTATGCCTACACATTTAAGAATATTAATTTATTCATAAATAACATCTGAATCAAGTATAATAATCAGAAAATCCAAAAAGGGAAAATTATATAGCAATCTTTTTCTATAAACTCCTACACCTACTGCATTTAATTTAGAAGTGTTTTTGCCTAAAATGGTACTTTAAGAATAAAGGAAACCATACTGAGCACATTTAAAAATGTAACATTGCTTAAAAACACTTTTATTACGTTTGCAAACTCTCTGACACCCGAGTTGGTATATAAGTGAACATAATCCAACATTTATTTATATGATGATATTGGTAACAGTCACAAAAAAGTGGAGGTCAGTGTATTCTGATAATACTTTTAAATTCTTTACTTTCTCCTAATTAACTTCTACATCTACCTTCTCTGAATTAGTCATGTTTAGCTTAATTCCTACCTTCCAAAAAGTCCCAGAAAGCATGCATTATTCTCTTCTTATCCTCAAGGGATCTGTTCCTTCCAATTCCTGTGGGTGCTTGAACCTTCGATGAGCTTTGCTTTTTTCACTGTACACACTTACACAGGTTCAGGCTTTCTGCCCACAATGCCTTTACCACTTACCTAAGCATTTACCTTATGCTGTAATCATAACTTTTGCAATCTGATGTATGCCAACAACACTAGCAAGAATTTCTTTTAGCTTCTTCATAATTTCACAGAGATTCATTATTATTATAATAAATACCTCAGCATAGATTTGTTTTCTTACCTTATGAAGTCAAGAATTTTCAACTTTTCACTTAAAGTACTTATTAGGGCTTCTCTAGCACAGTAATGTTGAATTGCCAACATTACTGCTTGACCCTGAACACGAGTACTGTACTGGCTGGTAATCGATCTGCTAACTGAGATGGTCACTGAGTGAATAACAACATGGGTACACCAGAGAAAGGGTGATTCATGTCCCAGGAGAAATGGGCTGAGATTTCATCACAATACTCAGAATATCATTCAATTTAAAACTCATTAATTGTTAACTCCTGGAATTTTCCACTTAATATTTTCAGACCATAAATGACACATTGAAATGCAAAAAAGCAAAACTGTATATAAGAGGGTGGAGGGCTTAATGTATCTCTGTTTCTTTCTAATAAATGAGTAAAGGTCTGACTTCTGTAGCCATATAGAATATACTCTAGCATTAGGATCATTGAGTCTTTAACATTTTGAGATTTCTCTACGGTAGGGTAGCCTAAAATATAAACAGGTTAGCTATCTTTTAGGGATATCAAAATCTTAAGTCTCTGAAACACATTTTGTTATTTAATTCTACAATTAGTCACAGCATAATTCATTTAAAACCTGCATACAATATTCTTATTTGTCATTTTCTTACCTGGTGCTGTGGAATATGCATACAAAAAGTCGGCCTCTACTGGTATTTTCTGGCATGTCATGTCATCATCAACACCACTGTCCGTCTCAATGCCACAGTCCAGTTCTGTGCCCCGGCAAGCCTGTAGGTTAGAAACTAAACATTATTCTAAAAATACATGTGGAAAAAAAAAATGTGTGCATATGCATAACTTACATCTAAGAAACACAAAGGCTATGTGAATTATGGAAAGGCTATGTAATTATAACAAGTCTAATGCAATTGCAAAATTGAAATGTACTTTGTATTTTCTAAGTGTACTTTGAATGCATAGAACAGTAACAGTACGTCTGTAGTCCGAGGAAAAAAAATAAATCCTCTGGATAACTCACAGGTGAGTAAATTATTTTCTGATTAACCCTCAATAACCAGGGTGCTCAATTGTGTACTACCTGAATAATGAAAAGTTTGGGTTTTCCAGTTAAACTTCTACAAAGATCCCCTCTGAAGAACTTTGTTAATCTTTTCAAGTCAACAGGTCCATTTGTTCCAAAAATTTTTCCTTCTTCACCATGGCTTAGAATTACACAAACAAAGCTGCTCCTTTTGCTATGATCTTCTTTGGAAACTAGAAAAACATTTACAAATAAGAAAAAAAAAATCTTTGCAACTTAATCAACATTTCAGATATACTGTGCACAATTAAGAAATTGAGAAATGAATTACAAGATCATCTAAACTTAATTTGGGACAAAGCCGCACACCCAAAATCATTTTAGGGTTTGACATAAATAAAATCTTTTATTTCTTACTAAAATACGTAAGAGAATTACATGTAATATAATTTTACCATTCTCTTATTTTATTATATGTAAGATTATAGATTCTAATATAAAAGTAGTCAATGAAGGCCATTCTTTTAATTACTTCTTACCACTGTACATCAAGTTCATTATTTCTTCACATGAAAGATCATTTTTATTCCTCACTTCGTATTTCAAGTTCATAAATGTTTCTCTGATACTTGCTGCATCTACATCTGTACCAAGTCGAGGTGCCATTCCTTGGAACAAAAAAGAATTACTTATAGTTTGTGTTTTAAAAGAATAAATGCTTTAAAATGAAGTATGTGGCACTCACAAAATCAATGAATTCTTCCCTTTAAATGCTCAGACTAATTATTTTGATCATGGTGACACAAAGCCTCTCCAGGCTGTTAGCATATAAGACATCTCATACTGCAACCGGTCCTAGTGTGATTGCCACAGGGATATCTTTCATAGCCATTTAAATACTCTAAAACAGAAAATGACTTTAAGTACCTAATAGTAGGGGCTTGCTTAAATAAATTATAATTCATCTGTACAGTACAGTGTTGTGTTTTTTAGATAAAATTTTGCTATAGAAAAATAGTCACTGTTAAAGAAAACTAATATAGTCCTACTTTTAAGAAAATACTATACACATTCCAGGGACTGTATTTCTTTGATTCTAAGTTCTAGTGTTCATGCTTTATTATATATGCCTTTGTATAATACTTTGATTATATGTGCTTTGCTTAAAATTTGTTCTTGCCTAACAGATGTCAAACTCCAAGTAATCATACAGATAAAAACAACAACAAGTATGCTAAATTCCTTTTAGATTCTTTTTTTACTGGGATCCATCAGATCTTATCCAGAGAAAAAGCTGTATGACACACATTGAGGTCTTAACTATATTCAACAGGCCTTAAATGACACTGCAGCTGATCTCTCTCCTAATAAAAAAGTAAAAGTAGGGCCAGGGATTTAGCTCAGCAGCATAAACTCTTGCCTTGCAAGCACGCGGTCATGAGTTCAACCCCCAATACCAAAAAAAAAAAAAAAAAGTAAAATTATGAGACAAGCCATCCTCCAAAATCCTATGGCATTAGACATTCTAACAGCAGCGCAGTAAATACTTGTAAATTGTAAAAACTAAATACTGAATGTACATTCCTGATCCTTTTGTACTATCTCAACAGCTATTCAAGATATTAGAAGACAAATCAATGACAGAACAAATCAATGACATAATGACAAGTCAGACTCTAAGAGTCCCTAAACCTTATCCTTATCCCCCTTATGGGAAGCCATTACTAACTCCTCTTTATGGAGATCTTTGTTAACTGTACTCCTATTATCCTGTTGATCCCATTATGCTCCTGCATACTTAATTGTTTCTTTGACTTTGTGTCCTCCATACTTAAAGCTGTATGCCTACCCAAGATGAAAATGCCTGGTGTCTATTGAGGGCCTTTAGACAGGCCTTCTATAGACTCTATAGTACCTCTGATTGCCCTATTACCAACTATCATCCCCTTCAGCCAGAAGAAGCCAGATCAGTTATCAGCCACTATTCCCTCACAGCAGTCCAGGACACTTTTCAGAAGGGGAAATGTTATAGGCAGCTTAGTTAGATAGAAATATTATAGGCAATCAGACAGGGGTAGGCCCTCAAAGGACCCAGTGCAGGACACCAGGTATCTTTCAACCTTGGAAGAGACACACACCTCTGCTGTGGGCCAGATCTCAAGACCAAAGACAAAACAAATACAACCACACCCTAAGTATAAACATCAGGGACTGATTTTCTAGCAGTCACCTAGATGAAGCCAGAAGGAGCTATTAACCCTTACCAGCAAAGACCCTATTCTGTATTCATGCCCACTGGCTATGTGACTCCACCATTTGATCCCAATTTAATCAATTTTACTTGAGCAATTACACTTGTAATCTTATTGATCCACCATAGTTATGTCCCACTTCACACGTGCTTGCCTTGTGAGTTCCCATGTTTCCCCATCTTGGACCCACCTCACCTCATGGTTTTACTTTATAAAAGTCCCTAGAAAAGACAAGAGTCTTTGGCAACTCACTCGGGACCCTTTCTGTCTGTCTGTCTGTCTCTCTGACAGAAGCTTTCTTTCTCTCAATATATTCTGCTCTTAAAAAATAATTTAATGGCTGAAGTTGGTAATTTGACTTACAGCCAAAAGCAAACAGTGCTATTTAAATTTAGAAACTAATTTTCAGCTATTCTATTATTTTTAACAAATCTAAAACCAAATCCTGCTTTTTTGCCAGTAAAATCTGGCTTCTTTTGATTCTTGCCACCACTCTGGTATCTTAAATTTGATTGACTGCATCTAGATTGTATAATTCAAAATTAATTCTAATATGATACACCAATTCAAAGAATTTTTACAGCATCATCTGAAAAATGAGTAACAGGGAAACAGCCAAAATGTTCATTCATACAGTAAATTACACTAATTAAATGACTAGTATATTTTGGAGATGCAGTACTATGTAACCATCAAAATAATAGGAAAATTATACAGTAACACAAAAATGCTTACATTACACTAAGGGGAACAAGCAGGATACAATTTTGTTTTCATGGAATAAATAAAATCAATCTTTTCCAAAAAAAACTACCAAGGAAAACAAAAAGTAATTCACCTAAATGCTAATCAGCTTTTTGGAACTGTGAAGGATTTCATTTTCTATATTCTCTAAGAAAAGTTCAAAATTAGTAGGCTCAAACTGTACATAGTACACCAAGAATAGGATTTGGTGACCAGGCCACGGTGAACTTAAAACAGAGCAGCTTCACTGTTAAAGGTAAAAAGCAGAAGAATGTTAAGAGGAAAGGGTAAGAAGTCAAGATGACAAACTACCTGAAGAAGGCAAAGAAATAAATATTAGAACAAAGTGTAAGAAGGAGAGTAAGAGATTAACACGGAGAACAGAGGAGATGAAGACGACGACAGCCCAGACCTCAGCTCTGCTACTGTGCTACCTCTACCTATGCCAACATTTTTATGTTTAGCCTTCTAGAATCTAACAGCAGTGGCTTCTCAGGTTTACTGTAAAAATAAATGAGACAATATCTGTTAAGTGCCTTGCAGGTTCTGGAAAGAAGTACTAGCCCTTAATATTTTTTGAGAATCTTTTATTGGTCTAAAAGATGAAGCAGGAGGATAAAAAAAATAAGGGTTACAGATTAGCAAGGGCAGAAGAAGCCAAGCAAAAAGGTAAGAGCTCAACTGTTCAAAGAGGGAGAGATTCTGCAATGAGCAGGAAAGTTAGAAGTTCATATCATACTCTAGGACCTGTAGGGTCTTGCCTTATTTCCATCTTGGCAGTCTGCATTTCAATTTATTGACCAATAAAAACATATCAAATATTCTTTCTTTATATCAAATCAAATATAAATGGCACAAATATCTGAAAAACATTAAAATTATGTAAGATACATACCAGTGCTTTTATGGAAGTTCTTATTATTAATGACTATACATAAACCCATTTCAGGATAATCCATTTTGTATCTATTGTCCAAGAATATTCCAGAGTCCATTGATTTGCTTCCATGTATGACCTTTCTGTTGGGAAATCAGATACTTTAAGCGATGAATCCACTAATACAATGAGTTTTATGACTCACAAGAACAGCTAACATTCATTTAAGGCTGCATACAAATTTTTTTGCTAGAATCTTCATTTAAACTTTTACAACAAATCATTTTACAGATGTGAAAATGACACATCCAAGGCTAATTGATGTGCTGAAGGTCATGCAGATGTCCTAATAGGACCAAGGAAAGAAAACTATTTACTGGACTTCAGAGTTTCAGCTTTTAACCTTCATGCTCCTTATTTTCTTTTAAATTTAGTAAAATTTTATCAAATACATTTTCTAATTTAAAAACTTCTAACTTTGAACGGTAGTTTATAAGAGTAAAATCTTTAAAATTACTCTGAAATGATAAAAACCACTAAACTCTAAAAAGTAATAATTAGTTACTAGTTAATAATTTATAAAGGCACTATTGTAAATAACTGAAAATACTTGTCTGAAAATCAATTCTCTAAAAACCTTATATATATCAGTAAACACATTCTCAAGAGCTGAACACTAAATATTTAGGATCTTGGGTCTTCTGGTTTACTACAGATACCCAATTCTACTGGTGAAGCTACCTAGGAATAGTATGTGAATGAACAAATGTGGCTCTGTACTAGTAAAACTAGACAAACTAAGCCACAGGCTTGACCCATGATCTACTAGAAATCTAGGAAATAACAGGTCTAGAAATAGTCAAATATCCATACCGTAACTTTATATACTCATATACTTAGAGTATTTCATATTTTATCCATTTCTAAAGTATTGAAAGTAATAATTAAAGGAGTCAAGGCCAGAAAAGAGCTGTTATATTTAACAGTTCAGAGGTATAGAGCCCCCACACTCCTTCTCTCATTCTGAAAAAATTAAAACCCTAAAACCCAAATCATTTAACCTTTAGGTCATAAAGATACAAACTGAGTATCCCTTATTAAAAAATCTGAAATGCTCTGAAGTCTGAAACTTGCTGAAAGCCTACAAAATTCCATACACGGAAAATTTCGTATCTGACCTCATATGACAGGTCACAGTCAAAACATAGGTACATTAAAAACATACAAAATTAGTTTCAGGCTCTATGTATAAGGTTTATATGGAATATAAATGAACATACCTCATTATGTACAGTAAATACAACCAAATCTAAATGAAACTACTAAAACACTTGTGGTTCTAATCATTTCACTTAAGAGATACTCAACCTAGAATGGACCACAGGACTACAAATCCCATCTCCTGATGCTCATTCCCCACTTCCTCTTAGGAAGTTCTCTACCGGCAATATGATAGCTAGATCAAGAAGGGATATTCCTTAACAAAAAGCAGAGCCTCAAAAAGTTCATCAATGTGAGGGTACTATATCAAGAAGGAATAACTCTAGAATTCTTTGGAGCTTCCAATGCAGTTTGCTATTTATATGATATTTCTACAATAAGATGGCAAGATTTCAACAACAACAACAACCTTGGAAAATGGAACTGTATTTCAAATTCCTTTGCTAAACAGGTAGGCAAAATTATTAGTAGAGATTTGTTATTAGCATTGCTATAATACAATTGTTTCATAATAAGGTTAGTTTGTAATTACAAGAATGGTCCAGAATAATAATACCGGGTCTCAGAAATAAACTTTTAGAATTTAAAAAACTTTCAATTGACAGATAATAATTATACATTTTTGTGATGATGTTTTGGTATACTTATACATTGTGTTGATCGACTTAGAATAGTTAAAATCAAAAATATTTCACATGGGGCTGGGGATTTAGCTCAGTGGCATAAGCACCTGCCTGCCAAGGGTGAGGTCATGAATTTGATCACTGGTACCAAACAAACAAACAAAAACCCAAAAATAAAACAAAAATTCACATGGATAATAACAGACATAAATTAACGAAGTATTTGTATTTTTATCTTTTTCTTTTATTGGCCAGTTATTAGATGCATTAATAAGCAGAATACACTAAGAAAGAAGATAAAAGAAAGACAAAGGATAAGATAATCCATAACTAGGCAATTCTTCTGCAGCTAAAAACCAGCATTGCATTTTAGTCTTAAAACCTACAAAGCAACAGGTCAAAAAACCCACCCGAACATACAACCTTGAATCTTATCCAATGATTTGGGAAGACAGCACTCCAGTGGTGAATGCTGCCTCTCCTGTGGAGTCCACTTTATTCCAGGGGTGGATGAGACACTATCCTAGGCCTTTCCTTTCACCCTCTCCAAAGTTCTGTCAAAGATTTACCATCTCCATTTTAAAGACAAGATTCAGTGAAGTGAACTTATTTAAAGCCATACAGCTCTCTAAGGTGGGAAGTCAGTTGGTCTCTGGCTTGAAAGCCTATCTGTTCCCCTCTCCTACTGCATTATACCTACCCATCTCTTTCTGACTATACAGGATTCCATTTAAATACTCACGTTTCTAAATTTTTAATGGATTTTGCATCCACTGAGTTTTCAGTGTTCTCCATGTCTATTTTTCTTAACTAGAATATAAAGAAAATCAAAGTTAATAAAAATCAAGTCATTATAAAACCACCATTGCACATTAATAATCCCAGTGATTATTTCTCCAAATCCCTGTTGTATCCTCTACTGTTAGAAGTTTGTGAGTCAGACCTGAGAGAATGAGCTTTTGTAAAGATATTCATAAGGTAGTTACCGTCTGTCTGTCCCTCTCTGGCTCCCTCTTTCTCATGTTTTACCTGACTATCAATTACATATAATGAATTACATCCAGTATATAGACAAGCGTACAACTTGATGAATTTTTCCATTGTGTTCCCGGTCAGACCAAGATATGAGACTGCAGCTTGTTTTCTTTATTACCCATCGAATCAGGTCATTTGTAGGAATTCAGCTTCCAACTCAATCGTTAAAACCAAAACTTACACAAGAATATGTCTTACATAATACCATTCTGCCATAGGTGGATTCCCAAGGGTACATTATCAAGACATTCCAAATCTCTACTTAAACCCTTATTCTAAATTGGGCTTCAGAATCTCAACTTTCCATTTAGGGTATTGAATGGCTAGGTAAGTTAGTAGTAAAAACTAAAGTTTCTGCTCTCATTCTTCCAACAGGTACATCTTATACAAGGAACAAGTCTTTGTATTCAAAGCAACCACTTACTGAACACTTATGACATATCAAATACTTTGCTGGGCATCTCATCTTTATTCTTCTCAGTAATGGTAAGTCAGGAAACCTAATTTCTAGTGATTAAGTGACTAAATTCACAGACACCCTAAGTGACAAGGCCTTCTCTTCCCACCCTGCCATCCTGCCTAAGGAAGCCAGGCCCTTAGTTAGTAGTTGTCTTCTGAGTTCTAGGAATTCTCCAGCTTTCCACAAGCAAAAGTACTTGCCACAATCACCTGCTTCTTAAATAGAGATAAAAGGAGCAGAAACAAAACAAAGAAATAGGGACAAGTCTAGAACAAAATTTTCCAGACTCTAAAAGCCCGGGTTATGTAAAATTTCAATCAAAACCAACTTTAACTTCTCTGTTAGGCTAAAATCAGAAATACTATAGGAATATACAATCTTACCAACAAGTAATGCCCACAAAATACTTTCTAGAAAATTCTAGGCACCCTTCCATGGTTTTTAAATTTTTAAATGTGTGGTATAATATACATAAAATTTATCATTTTGGCCATTTTTGAGCATATAGTTCAGTGGCAGTAAGCACAATCACACTGTGGCACAACCACCACCACCATCCTCTCCAGACTATCTTCCTGAGACTCCATAACAGGGTTCCATATCAAAGTCTCTTGGAAATCATAACTCCTTCCCTTTTTCAAAGCTAAACTTCTCAGGCCACCTCTGTTCACAATTATGGTAAAGAAAGAGTACAAAAAGAGAATGTGTCACCTATTGAATTCAACCACAGAAGAGAGTTGAGTTTTATTTTCTCCCAAAGCCAGTCTATTTTTTGCATGTCTATAAAGACTCTTCGCTTTCTATCATCTTACTTCCTGTAGGTTTCCTAGGAAATCATAGTTGGGTGTGAGTACAACTGGGATAATTAGCATAGTCAGTCAGCAAATATTTAGTGAACACATACTTTGTTCTAGACATCATTCTAGTTACATTTTAGAAGACAAGACAAAGTTCCACCCTCAAGAGGCTTTCATTTTGGAGAGAAAGCCTATAGATTTATAAAAAGATTTCAAACACTGGAAGGGGGTATGAAAAAACCAGAGTAAACTAATAAACTGTGAACTACATTAGCTAGGGTAGTCAAGGAAGTCATCTCTGTGATGACATTTGTCAGAGATCTAAATGCCACAGAAGGTGAAATTATAGGCTGGGAGAAAGATCAGCAAGCAAAAAGGCATATATCTGTTGTATTCACGATGCACAGCGAGTAGTATGATTAGTACACGGTAAAGGAAGGAAAGGAGAAAAGGGAGATAGCACAGGAAAGGCAAATCATACAAGGCCATAGAAATCAAGAGGCACTTTAGTTCAGGCAAGAGATGATGACAGCACGTACAGAGCAGAACAATGGATAAAGGTAGTTAGGAGTCTAGAACTTGAAGGAAAGATCGGAGCTAGATATATCAGAAGGGACACATTGGTAAGATCACTTGAGAATATTCTGACATGTTCCCTTATCCCTAATAACAATTGAAGTTTGATATACTAAAATTACATTACTAAGAGCACATCTAAGGAAATAACCCAAGGGGATAGAGAAAGTAAAGAAAGAATATGCATTATTGATTAAAAAAACTAAGAATCTGAGGACAGAAAAATAGGTTATATTGTATCCATCCAATAGTTAATACACTTACTCAATTTTTCTTTTGTTTTTTAAATTTTTCTTGAAGAACTTATGACATGGGAAATGCTTATAATATAAAGCTAAGTAAAAGTAGGCTATAAAACAGTATGATCTCAATTAAAATAAATTAGAGGGCCAGGGTTTAGCTCAACAGCACGAGTGCTAGGAGGTCATGAGTTTGATCCCCAGCACCAAAAAAAAAAAAAAAAAAAAAAAAAAAAAAAAAAAAAAGCCACAATACATTACAAAAAGAACAAAAATGCTTATGTAAATCATTACATATTAACACATCTGGTTGTCTCTGGGTGATGTGATTACTGACAACTTACTTACTAAACATACTTTTATATCTTCTTTTAAAAAAAAATAAGACCTGCACCATTTGTTAGAAAATAATAACAAATATTATTTTATAAGGTACTGTCAACAATGGCAGAGTTGCCAACAATCTTGGCACAACCAAGATTGTGTTTGACATTTCAATCCTCAATCTTTAAAGTGACAAAAATAATGGTACTTTCTTATGAAAGCAGCCATTCTTCCTTATTTTTACCATGTTCTAGTTTACTTGCCTCTCTTTTTCTTTCATACAGACGATAAACATAATTGGGTACAGGGAAATTTCAAACTTCCATGAACCATAAGTACCATGGAACTTGTCCCCACACATGCCAATTCAAAGTACACAATGTGTAAGCCAAAATAATCAATCTGTGGTTGAGAAATGAGATGTGATTAGCCTAACAGAAAATAGTATTCAGTGGCTAACAAGTCTGAAACAGGTAAATGTATCGCAAATGACTCACTAATTTTTAAAAAATAGGGATGTCTTCTTAAAGTGAACTTAGAGCTCCAGGCATTGTCTTTTCTGGCCCCAAGATTTGCTCCAATTTGTTCTTTAAATGAACTGCCCAATGCAGAGCTCTTACTATGTGTGTAGGGACCCTTAAGTGTCCCTAAAACTTCTAAACAATGTGGCAATGTTTACACTGGAATACTGACTTGTAATTTAAAATTTTTCTGTCTTGCCTATTAAGCTGTGGAATAAAATTATTTTCTTTGTGACCAGTAACAGAAGCTTTAAATAGTGACAAGCTTTCTACAATTCCAAACTATGTGCAGTATTCGCTTGTTGGCTTAACCAACGTTAAGATTTTATCTAACTAGTAGGTATGTCTGTGTGAAAGAGACACAGAGAGACTCAGACAGACAGACAGACAGAGAGGGGTAGGTACGGGGGATTGCATTGAATGCAAGGACTTCACACTGAGCTACATCCCCAGCTTTTTGAATTTTTGTTCTAAGACAGGCTCTTCCTACTAATTGCCTGTTATCCAGGCAATGATGACTTGCAATCTTTATACTTCAGCCTCCTAGAGAGCTAGACATAGGTATGTGCCACAATGCCAAGCTGGTAGTAATTTTTTTATCTGTTAAGCCAACTTTCTCTAATCAATTGTTGCAAGTTAAAAAATTTTAAGGTCAGTCTTACTATGTAAATAATTATAATTCAATCACTTCTTGTATTAGACATAAATGATAAATTTCTTGTTTAGTAACAGCTGGTGGCTAAAGAAAAAATATGAATTCTTTTAGGAGTTAAAATAGTATCTTACTGTGAAACAAATTTATAATGTATTTAATTTCCTTTATTAGTAGTATGTGAATAATATGGACCATCTCAGATATCAGGTGATCTTGATATGTACTAAAATTTTCTATAATAAAATCATTTTAGCATGAGACATTATATATCTGCTCTTTGTCATCATCTGCTTTTGCCACATGACATAGCAAATTCACTCTTGGGAGAAGCACTTTACTTCCTTAGAACTCACTGAAGTGTTGCACAGAATTACCTCACCTTCATTAGCTACTGCCTGGCTTCATATAAATTATTTTGGGATGGTGATCTCATCTTAAAAGAATAAAAAAATTATGTCCTGAGGGAAATAATTATTGCCCTAAATCATAAGAGGAATTTAGCTTCTTAGACTGTATACGTGACAAAATATAAATAAGAAAAATAAACAATGAGAGTTTAAAAAATATCTCTTAGCACAGCAATGGATTTAATGTTCTTACTGTGCTGGTGTGTATAAATTGCAGAGCCAGGACTCAAACCAGAACCTGGCTGTTTCAAGACTTAGACTCTCCCTATACATTCCATAAACTACTTAATACCAGAGTGACAATGATATGATTAATTTCCAGGAAAGAAACAAAAATCCCTAACCTTAGAAGCTCTGGTTAAGATAGACAAAAGACATAAATAACATGATAGAAATGACTGCTGAGAACTGAAATCGCAGCTGTTGCTCAGTATCCCTTTGTTTCATTCTAGGACCCAACTGGGGCAGCAAATTCTCACAATGCTCAAAGTACCTTATATGAATGCTCAAGTACCTTATACAAAATGATGTAATATTTGCATGTAACCTACACATACCTCCTATATACTTTTGATTATCTCTAGATTACTTATGATACTTAATACAACATATATGCTATGATGTTTAGGGAATGACAAGAAAAAAGTCTGTATATCTTTGGATAGATGTATTTTTTTCTAGTATTTTGATGATGGTTGAATCCACAAACGCAGAGGACTAATTTAGTGTGTAGATTATAGTAAGTAATAAAAATAGAAAATGGGAATGATGATTATGGTGTTTCTGATGCTAGTGGGTAAATTATTTCTAAAAGTAAAATAACTAGTTTCAAGTTAATCACTCAGTGTGAGACATTAAGTCATTCTCTAGTTGCCTCGAGAAGAAAAATGAAGCAACTCCAGTATGATTTCTGGTAAGACTAGATCTCTATCAAACCATTTGAAAAATATTGGGATTATATTTATTGCCTATCAGTAAGGACAAAGTCTCAAAAGCAGCAGTAGTCACATTTCCAGATAAAGTAGCTGAAACATTTACTGTGCAATAGTGTGTGTAAGAAAAGATTTCGGCTAACACACATCAGAGGTTTCATCAACATGTCTACCATCTGGTTTTTGAACTTTTTGGTGACAGATAAGAATTATTGAACTCACTGTTGTCACTGGGCCTGGCAAAGTCAATCTTTTAATATTTAAAATATAATTAATGTGAAAACATGAAAACTGAGAAGCAAAGTTAAATACAGAATAAACTAAGTTCAATTGTAGCGCATAGACAAATAAAACCATCCTTTTCTTTTCTTTGGCATGAGCCACACAACCAGGAAGACAGACCAGCTTGCTGTGTACGTCAGAAAGGATATGGTACTTCCCACTTGGAAGTCCTAAGATGATTTTTTTTTTTTTTTTTTGAGGGACAAAAGAAGAAAACTGCCAATTACTTTTAGTCCTAAATATTTTGTACAAAATAAATGAAGAATGGAGGATTTGGGATGTCATTTATAAAAATCACAATTAATCATAGTAATTTAGTGAACACCAACTGTGCACTGCATAATGTATTAGACTTTAATGTACAAAGTAGTGAAAAGGACAAAAAGCCTACCCCATGTGGAGCTTATATTCACAAGAGGCTCAACAAGGCAGATGGCAGAACGTATGCAGTCCATATCAAATAACCCTACCATACTCTACCACACTGCAGAACTTCTACAGGCAGTATTTAAAGCAATAATAAAGCATGTAGAAAATAACTTACATTATACAGATTTCACATTTACAAAGCATTGTCACAGACATTTTTAAATCTGATCCTTACAGCAACACTGTGAGGTATAAATATTCTAATTTATGAATGAGCAAGTAACTGTGTCACCTTTAGAACTTAGGCTCAGGTAATCTGACAAGAGACTACCCTTTCCAGCCAACACATTTGTATTTATTACATGTGTATAAAATATTTAAGAATCTAAAAATTTCCATGTATTTTTAAGAGGCCCAAACACCAGTGTTTTTTTTATCATTGGGGCAGAACTTAGAAGTATTATTTAACACTAACATGAGAACAAGTAATGTTACTCATGAAAATAAAGATTGCTTTGTAACATAAGAAAAGGGATGATGCAATAGATTGGGTTAAATTCGGTTTCAAAGGAAAACAGTAAAACAGCATTGTACTTGTCTATATCAGATGTCAGTTTCTTCAAATGACAGGAGGCAAGGCCTTTTTTTCACGATGACAAAAAGTAAATCTCAATTAGGTACAGTATTCTTTGAACAAGTTTTATTTCCAGTCTACTAAACTGTTCATCCATTAAAATATATCCTTTTAAAAGTCTTCTTTTGCAAAAGAGCAAAGCCAAAAATTCAAATTGGGTTGATTTGGGCTTTAAATTTCATTTCTAGTGATCCTCTGACATCCCACATTCAAAGTGGCTGAGCACATGTTGATATTGGCTGATCTAATCACCATGCTTAGCACCACCCTCTGCTATCTTGCATATTCACATTCTTATAATGGCTCCATTATTTCATGTCTAGTAGTCTTTTCTAATTCAAATTTTAATTATAATTTGATAAGCAATCCTAAAATGAATTTATTTTTCTAGATAGGGCCTCTAGATGTGGTAAATTAAGTTTACCTAATTAAAAAAGCATAATACTATGATAAAAACAAAAAGGGCAGGCATTCGTTTGTGCCAGGAAAGTCAAAAAAATCACCATAACAGACAAATCAGTCCCTCAGTTGTTTCCTTATAATTTAAAGGGGAAGACACTGTAAAAGATATAGGCACATCTTAGATAAGGTTGGCTGCAAGAAAACACATGAGACTGAACCTTGAATTGTTAAATGAAAACAAACCTAAGCAAAAGTGAAGAGGTGAGACATAGGGGAAGGGAATGCAAGTTTACATGGCAATCAGTAGGTCTGATAGTAAGTACAGTCATGGTACAGCAAGTGAAAGAATACTATTTTAAAAGATAAGGCAGGGGGCGAACCAATCGGTGTTTGGCTCTACTAATCAGGTTAGAGGACCAGGTTTACTCGGACCAGGTTTACTCTAAAGGCAAAGAACCTGCTTTCTAGGTTTTCCTGTTGTAAAAAACGGTCTGGAGAAGGGAAAAGAGACTGCCGTGGGGGGACCAGCTAGGAGCTGTGCGGCTAGGTGAGAGTCGAGGGTGACTGAAATCTGGGATGAAGGGGCATGCGCAGACCTGGCAGATGTTTAGGAGGTCGCCGAGGCCAAGGGGTGACAGCAAAAGGAACAGACAGAGGTGACTGAGAAGCATGTTTCCTGGGCGCCGCTTACTGGAGGAAAAGAGGCAGCGGCTCAATTCAGGCTTGAGGAGAGACCTTCTGAGAACGAGAGTGACAGGTGTGAAAAAGGATTGAGGGGATTTCAGAGCTACTCCCTCCAGTGACTTTGCCTCAGGATGCAGTCTTCATGGAAGCCTTCAGCTCTGAAAAGGAACGTGGTCATTCCTTACAATGAGCTCTCTGGAAGAACTAGCACCGTCAACCAGAGAAAAGTCTAGGCCCTCAGACTCAGAAGGCAGCAGAGATCAAACATGGGCGCTAACCGGGGGCTCGGCGCCCACGGTCAGAGCCTCAGACCACAGCTGGCCCGCAAGCAGCCCCCGGGCGGAGGTTCCAGAAACCGCTTCTTGCTCTTCCCTCCCGATCCACCCACCAGCTTGCGGTTGCAGTCACAGTCCCATCCCGCACCCCGCGGCCCGGGTGGCCCCGGCCCAGCCACCCTGCCGCACCCCTCGATCCCGGCTCGGTGCCCGCGAGGGTTTCCCGCTCCCCAGCCCGGCTTCCCTTGCCCAGGCCCCGCTCCCGGCCGGGCCCTGCAACCCTCAGAACAAAACAAAGCCTGGGTCTCCTGGACCGCCCATCTCCGTCTCCGAGCAGCAGCTGCAGACGCGGGCAGGTCCCCGGGACTGGCACTCGCCTTGGGAGAATGGAAGGAGCCGGTCAAGGGCTGGCGGCACAGGGACCCGAAGGACAGGGCCGGGGGACACGCACCACACGGCTCCCACAGCCTCCACAGCACAATCCACTCCTTCGCTCTGCTCGGCGCCAGCACGGCTTCCGCCGTTGCCGCAGCCTTGAGAAATGAGTGTAGAGTTGGGCCCGCCCCCGGCCCGCCTACCCGGCCGGCAGCCCGAGCCGCACCTCCCCCAGCAGAGTGGCCCCTTCCGGTCCCGGGGACCCCGCGCTCCTTATCTCCAGCTGTGACTCTTGTCTCCAGCGGATCCGTGACCCCGCCCACAGTGGAAGGCAACTCCCCGCCAAACCTTGCACTATGCCCGCCTTCCAGCCGCTCGGGCCCCGCCCCGCCCCCCACTGTCCCCGCCCCGTCCCCGCCCACCCCACTCTTTACAGGCCCGGCTCCTCACTGACCACGCTGGCCACGCCCACTCTTTAGGGGCTCGGCTCCGCACTGACCACGCCCCATCGCTGCGCAGGCACAGTCCTGGCGCGGGATTTTAAGTGAATCCCGCCGTCTGCTGAGGAGCTGCGGGCCTTGGCTGCCACTCGGGCTTCCTGAGGTAAGTTGAGGAGCGCCCAGAATCGACCCTAGTTCTTGAGGCACAATGAAGAGAGACAAGCCTGGGCCATGGGAGCTCCGGGAGGGAAGGAAGCAGGCCGAGATTCGCGCTGGTCGTCTCTGCTTCCCCTCAAAAGACCAGAGCCCTCTTCCTTAGTTCTCCTCGACTTCCCTTAAACCAAATGCCTAACTGCCCTAATCATTTCAGGAGTATTTTGGGTTTTAGACTCATTTTAGACCCTGATGCAAACTGTAAAGCATTTGTGCAGAAAAATATACCAACACACATAAGCATAAAATTCTGCACCAGGTTTCAAGAGTTTACGACATTCTGACAACAAATGAGGGACCCCAAGAAAGAACCAGCTTGTTCCCAATGCTTATACCCGAATGGGTAAGTCAGGGACTGTGTTATGTGTTACATACAGATACGTACACACATACACACATATTTATAGAAGGCTTGAATTTTCATAATATATTTTCTTGTTAAAACAACTCATCCAGATGGGAATCCTGGTGTCCACTTCAGCTTAAAGAAGTTAAAGTATTTGCTCTTACTGACAGGAGTCACATTAACTAAACTATCAGTCTAGAAATAAAACATGCCTTTCTTTGTCCCAAAATGGGTGAAGTTGACAGTCTTTTTTTTTTTTTTTTTTTTCTCTCTGCAATAACATTGAAGAATAGGACGTACTCAAGCCTATTAGTAGTTTTGGGGGACAGTAATTTGTAAGGTTTGTATGGTTGAACAAAGCCTCCTTGCCCCATTGTGATGCCCAGAACCCTTTCGGTGCTAAATTTTCTTGCAAAATATGCTTGAGATAAAGTAGCAGATGCTTTTTTCCTTACAAGTTATACTGATTTATTTAGTCTAGAGAAGACTTATAGCAAAACAGCTAGAAGCCACATCTTCCTCTGACTGAGCCCTATAATGTCTCTTTACAGAGATATCCCAGAGGAGATACCCTGAAGTGGGAAGCATTAAGGAACAAACAAATTGAGACCATCTAGACGAGAGAAACATGAACAAGAGGGCCTCTAGAGAGGGAGTGGTCATTGTCATTCATTTAGTGAGAAAACTGAACAAGAAAATACAGTAGGTATGTGGTTCATGGCCAGAGTCTGGAGGGAAGTTTAGCCTTAATGAGGTAGGCTGTCATGTGAATTTAGTGATGCTATGAGTCATTAATGATGACCCCTATAAAAAGTGACAGTGCCATAAGTTGATTAGTCTGGCAGAATTTAGGCTGGCGGATGAGAGGTCCCATTTGGAGGATGGAAAGGAGTATCCAATAAGCAGCATTCTGTCACTACAAACTTTATTACCCCACACAATCAGTTTGCACAAATAGAAACATAGATTAATTTCTGTCCAAGCATAAATAAAGCAAAGTGACTAAAATGGGATGGGGTTCAGTCAGTTATGTTTAATTTCTCAATGTGTTATTCATTTAGGAAGTTAACTTATAATATTTCTGTAAGTAAGTTTTAATCACATGTTAAAGTGAATACTTAAGCAGTGAGAAAAAGTATGAATAAATTGCAAGAGGCCACAAAGGAGATAATATTAGAAAAACATTGTCAAAAACTAGGACTTCACTAAGTAGTAGAACTAGAATACTGGCAGTAAACACAAAATACTGATGAATTTAATCTCAGGGTAAGAAGGAGAAGTTGGAATTGGGTAACAGAGGTTGAGAGAGAGACTGACAGACAGACAGACAGAGACAGAGACACACACAGAGAGAAAGAGAAAATGAGAATTTCTGGGGGTGGGAGAGAACACAGAAAGAGCTGATCTGGAAAGAACCGTGACAAGGTCAGCTTCAGATTCCCCTAGAAGCCCTTGACTGTGAAGCACATACATCCTAGTTCACCTGAGGACCAGGCTATCAGGAGGTACAGATGAGCAAGTCTGGGCATAAACCCAAGAAGTGGAGGCTACTTAGAACTGAGTCATCTCTCCGTTTCTAGTCTCAATTCCCCTTCCCTCACTATGACAGGATAAACCCAACCTTGTTTCTAGCTTGACCATGTTTAGTTTAAAATTGGTGTTGAACATAATTAAAGAAACATTATGGTGCAGTGTTAAGAAATAAAGTAGAGGGCTCTTTAAGCTTACTCTTTTAAAATACAACCATTCCTTTCCTTTGGAATTTTGAAGCTTTACCAAAAATAGTTATAGTCTCTGGGTGAAAACTGGCTTTGATAAAAAAGGACAATAATATTTTCTCCACCAGGAATTAAGAGCATGTCTAATGGGGTGACATTCTCCTCAAAGGAAAGGGTGAGGATTATGACAGTCCCAGACCAGAATACCAGATGCTTCTTCTCTTTTTCTTTTTCTTTTGTCATTTATCCTCTTGTTCAAATTGATAAGCCCCAAGCTGCAGCTGTCTTCTGATCCTCACACCAGCTATAAAAATGGTTAAGCCACATAAAGTACTCTGGCAACACATTACTGTATGTGTGAACTTCTTTTCTCCTGAGTTCATATTCATGATTTATCTGACTCTGAATCCTCAACTGATTTTCTACTATGACTGCAAAACTTTCATATATGACATACTCTCATGGTTATACCAAGGTATTTATAAAATCAGGAAAATAAAAATGTCCCAAGATTTAGTGTCACTAACTGTGAATATTGGTCACATACTATGGTTCAGATAAGTTTGGCTCCGTTTTAAAGTAATCAGTGGACTATGTTGAAAATTAATAAATTTCAGCATAGATTTACTTTCTAAATTAGGTTTATCTAAGTATAGTGGAATTTTGTTTGCATGTAAAGCAGATTAAACTGAACGTGTAAATTCTATTGAGTAAGTTCTATAGACTATTGAACCATACCACTGTATTGACAAGTTAAAACATTTCTTTCAAATTGCCCTGTTTTCTCAAATGAAATTAAACTCCTTTTTCTGGCACATTCATTATATTCTCGTTTGCTAGTTTATAATTTTCATATGGATCACATATAACTGAGGGAATCTTCTTTAAGTGTGTTATAGTTGATGTCAAATACAAAACCTATGAGAATATGCCCTCCTTTTTTTCCTAAAAAGTCATGATATTCCCACCCTTTTAATCTTTTAGGCTAACTCTCTCTCTCTCTCTCTCTCTTTCTCTCACTCTCTTTTCTTCAGGGAACATATCATTTACCAATGACTTTCAGTTACTATAAAGCTGTCTTTTAAAATTCAAAGAAAGGCATTGCCATAGGTAATTAGGAATTTACTCTCAAATGTTTTAGTATACATTATTGTTTCATTTACAGAATAATATAACTAATATATTTGTTTTCTACATGGGTAAATTATGACATAGATGATATTAATGAAGAGGGAAGCTCTATTATCTACTACTACCAACCCAAAACTTACTGGTTAAAAAGAAAAACAAATCATTTTTTCTCACAGTTGTTTGGGTTGGCTGGGCAGTTCTGTAGGTCTGGCCTGGACTTGGACTTATTCATGTCCTGAATTCACACAATGGCTAGGTCAAAGTGGCTTTGCCATGACTCATAATTTATGGTGCTGCCTGTTGGCTGGGATGTCTTGGTTCTTGTGCCTATGGCCTTTCATCTTCTAGAAAGTTAGGGTTCTAGCGTGGAACTGTCAGGGTAAAACTCTGGAATAGTCAAATTGCATACAAAAGTACCTACTACACTTCTTGTTTCACTTTGTCAATGTCATATTGGTGTAAACAAGTCACATGATTAAACCCAAAATTGGTATGGCATTGAGCTTAGATGGCAATTCTCGGTAAAATGGCAAAAAAAAAAAACAAAAAAACAAAAAAAAAAAACACCAACTTATAATGACAATTAAGGAAGTTATGCTTAGAGGGGAATTATCTTCCCTACAAAAACTGTTGGAAGATAAGAAAAGTGGATGTCAGAAATGGAAAAAGACAAGTGTGGTAGTGCCTACCAGCATTCCAGCTTCTTGGGAGGCTGAGATGAAAAGATTGCAAGTTTAAGGTCAACCTGCCAACTACTGAGACTCTGACTCAAAATTTTAAAAAGACAGGAGATGTGTAGCTCAGTGGGAGAGTATTTGGTTAGCAAGTATGAGGCTCCGGGCTCTTTAGAAAAAAGAGGAGCTGGGAATATAGCTCAGTGGCATAAGCGCCTGCCTAGCAAGCACAAAAGTCATGAGTTTGATTCCTGATACCCAAAACAAAACAGAAAGAAGAAAAGGAAACTAAGAGCTGTACATAGATGCCTAGAAGCAAATTCTGTTCTAAGAATAGCCTGTAATCCCAACTTTCTAAGAGGCTGAGACAAAGATTGCAAATTCTAAGCTCAACCTGGGCAATTTAGCAAGATTGACCCTGTCTCAAAAAGGCATAAATAAAGCAAAAAAGACTTGAGTACCTAAGCTGGTAGCATCAGCTGAATCAGATAGCACTTCATAGGATAAAATGGCTATAATAAAAGCCTTAGTGATATAAAAAGTGCTTACATTTACATTAGGCTTTGTAATTTACAAAACATTTTTCATATACCTTCACACATTTATCCTTGAGATACTACATAAATATTCAGGATGATCTTAATTCCCA